TCTGCAGACAGGATGGTACAGATGACTTTGATTCTGTCTTGCTCACTAAATAGAACTGCACTATATCCCATGGGCATGTAGGATTCCTTGTAGGGATTTGTGCAAGGCCCCCTCATAGCAGATGTTGGCCATCCTTCCTTCCCATTCTCTTATTGTTTTATTTGTGTGCTTTGATTGCTGATTGCTTATGACACGATTCCCCAAGGATAAAATTCTAGATATGAAATTACCCACTCGGTTTTCTGCTTCCTGTAACTGCTGTCATGTTGACCTCCCCAAAATTCCTGGCACTCTGTGATTTGCTCTAACAGCATAGATGTGTCATCACCAGCAACAGGTATGAAAAGCAGTTGCTTGTTTGAAAAGAAAAACAGGTACAATTCTCTTTGCCTTACTTCCTGCCCTATGCACAGGTGGGAGCAACGTGTGTGGGTCTTGGCTCTGGGAGGTGGGGGCACCTAGTTAGGCAGCCTGGGCAGAGTTAAGAGTCTTATAATCAAATTGTGACCCAAGTTCTCTGTGCCTTACTTACCACATCTATAATACAATGTTGACTGCAGAGCCTTTTTTTAATAAATTCTGTACAGGCTAGAGGGGGGGGAATACATGACTGACTGATGTACCTTAATGGCAGTAAATAAGGACATAAGCCTTTGGTGGCACTTGTGGTAGATACTGTTTGCTTGCTGTTTTTGTTTGTTTTGTTTTGTTTTTCCTGGTAAAATTGGCTTAAGGGCTACTTGTAAGACATGGAGTATTTCAGTTCAAGAAATAAAACTTGTTTTCAAGTGTGGAGCCTGTAGAAAAATACCACCTTGGTCCTAAGGACACTTCTGCTTCTACACATGCAAAGGTGATTTGGGAGCAAGCCAAGGTAAGGGCCTCCAGCACCCCTCTGCCCAGGCCAGAGGGCCACTGTCCTGTCTGCCATAGTGGGTTAGCTGCAGCTTTCTATCATCTCGTGTGTGTGTGTGTGTGTGTGTGTGTGTGTGTGTGTGTGTGTGTGTGTGTGTACATTTCTACGGGCATGCATGTAGAGGTCAGAGGTTGATGTGGAATATCTTTCTCTAGTGTTTACACCATGTTATTTCAGACAGTCGTTCACTGAGACTGGAGCTTTCTGATTTGTCTAGACCAACTGGCCAGTAAGCCCTGGGATTCTTCTGTCTCTAACTCTCCAGTCAGTGTTGGGATTAGGTGCATGCCTCTGCACCCCACTTTTTACATAGGCCTTGGGGATCTAAACTCAGGTACCTATATTTGCACTCTCCTGATTGACTGTCTCCCTGCCCTTGTGCAGCTTTTAAAAAGCATTGTGCCCAAACTCCCACTTTTGGTTCTGGCCTAACAGAGTTCTGGGGCTGGGACCAGGCCTTGTGTCATTAACAGGTATTTGTGCTGACTGCAATGCTATCCAAGTCTCAGAGGATGATGAGCCTACCAGCCTGCAGGACATCATAGTGACAGCCAATTTCTCCTCTTCTTCTCATCCTTTGAATGCCTTCCTAGCCATTGTCACTGTACTAGTTGTCATGTCTCTTAATGAGGAAAACCTAGAGACACTGCCATTGGTGTTGTAGCACAGCGCTCCATTTTCAAACTCTACTATCATGGACAGAAACTGCTTTAAAACAAAAACAAAAATAAAGCCACTGTTTATACTAATCACATCCAGATGTTTCTCCTTGTCATGATTCCCTAAGCAATTTAGTCTAACAGCCATGGACAAAGCCTTTACTATGTAGTATAAACATGAAGAGCTGCTCTCTTATCCCAGAGGAATTGAGTGAGCTCTCCATCAGCACTGGACCACTTTCTACAAGGAGCCAGAGTATCTTCCAACCTTGGTACATTGGGGACCTGTATCCACACCCCTGTGTCTAATGACAGATGAGTGTGTGGGAATACAGAGCTACTATGCTTAAATGCCCTCATGCATGGTACACACCCTACACACCCACCCTCTCTCTCTCTCTCAAAGCTAAGATGATCTCTTTATGAGAGCTGAGTCTCATGCTGATCTGAGGAGTCCTTTTTTGTTTTGTTTTGTTTTGTTTTTCAACCCTGACTTCAAGATAGCTTATTGGCAGGGCTAGCAAGAAGGCTCAGTAGGTAAGAGCAGTTGTTACCAAATCTGAAAACCCGACTTGATCCCTGAAACCTATATGGTGGAAAGAGATAACTGACCCCTGTAAGTTCTAGCCTCCACCTGTGCACTGTGGTACATATGTGTGTGCATACACACACTCGAACATGCATACACATACTCGAACACACACACACACACTAAGTAAGTATTAAAAGATTTAAAAAGTTGTCAGGGCATTGCTCAAACCTTATGATTATTTTGGGGGAGAAGTGTAGTTATCAAGGAAAGAACAAAACAACAGGGGGGGAAAAACCTCCCCTTAACATTTTATCAGGAGAGAAAGGAATTCTAGAAGGTAGAGACCAGAGAAAATTCTATGCAACAGGAAACCCTTCATTACAGGCTCCAGCACCAGGCACCATGACAATGTCAAGGCAATCTGACCGGACTAAAGACAGAGGAGTAGAACCTTGTGGGTACTCGGGAGATGTTAAAAGTCAACCCTCACTTCTAAAGTGCACTCCCCCACCCCTTGCACCCGGTCCGAGGTTCAAACCACAGTGTGAGATTTTAGAGAGAAAATACGAAGTCTGTCAATCCCTGCAGGTTCTTTCAGGCAGCAGAGATAAGGCTTGCCAAGGGGCACGGCGGCGGTGGGGGAAGAGAGCCACATATTGGGGTAGCTTTGCCCACAAACACCCCAGGCTTCATGGAGTGCTCTATGGGACAGCTTCACCCCACACAGATTCATATGGGAACATATAAAGCTTTTAAGAAACAATCCCTCCAAGATGGAAAGCCATTCACTGAAAATACAGAGAAGCTGTCCCCTGGGAAGTACATGCCTGCGTAAGGGCTTATATATGATTTTAATATCCCAGTGGCAAAAGCCAGCAGCCAAGGAAACAACACATGGGGGAGGGACAAACTTAAATCCAAGCATCCAACAGAAATTCTGAGTTCCACTCCAGGCAGCCTGGGACTAGAAGAGGAGCTGCCTGCTCCCCATCCCCAGGGGCCAACTTTCTCTGCACCCCACAGCCCCATCAACAATACATGACTGTGATAAGCAACCTTGGAGAACCATGGTGTGCTAAGTCCTTCCATAAGCCATGCACAAAATTGCAGAAGCACGCACAGTCTGACCAGGCCTTGGGAGACCAAGCCAGACAAACATAAAATCCTGGAACTAAGAAGCCACCAGAACAAAATGCCTGTTCCCAAAAGGCAAACAGATAAGTATATCGGAGATTCTTTTAAAGTCAAAGGAAGTTCTACAAGGACAGAAAATAGTGGGGGTGGTATGCAGGGCATCCCCAGAAAAAGTGCTGCCCCAGGCACGTCCACCTCAGAGGCCCAGGCTTCTTTTATTGACTAGTTTATCATGGAAACAGTCAAATGAACTGAACATCAGGGGGTATGAGTCCATCTGCAGCCCTCATTTATTATTGAAACCCATCTCAACCTCCGGGAGCCCCCTCTCTGCCATCACAGGGCCACCCACACAGCACTCAGAGTCCCAACTCCAGGCCACGCCCCCTGTCTCTAGTGTCTCTCACACACAGGAAGAGGGTTTGCGTCACAACCGCATCCTACAGAGATGATTCAACCTAGTCTGCATTTCCAGGAGGGTTACAAACCCCATGAACTCAAGCAGTTGCAGTCAGCTCCAGCTTCTCCATTCTGGAAGAGATTCCAAGGGCTCCAACACACAGGAACCTGAATTAGCTCCTGCCTCACTCACACCCTGCTTTGGGAGGTCAAGAGCAGTTTAAAGCGACTTTGAATAATGGTAGGAGAGCCACACATGAGTCCTTACTGCCTCCTGCACTAACAGTTGTGCTCTCTTCTCTCTCCATTCCTGTCACCCCCCTTACCAACGTGGACAAACTCCAGACAAATATGAACAACACCACTGACAGAAATGACTATGGGCAACTGACATGGAACATGGAGTAAAGGCCTCAAGTGCCATCTCATTGAGACAGGCATGGATGTGGGTTGAGGTCACACAGGGAGTGGAGACACCTGTTCAATATCTCCACTTGTGTGAGAGTCTGACAAACTTGGGGCCAGACTCAAAGTGAACACGGGAGAGCAAAAAGTGCTGACAAGGCCCATTTGGGTCTATCAGCTCACTAAAAAAGCCATCTTTTCAACCTATTGCATATTCTTTCATTCACCATGTTTCCAAAGAGTAACAAGTTTGCTTGCACAGTAAGATCCAAAGCAACACCTAAACCTGCAAAGAGGCAGGATACCCTTGGCACCAACAAACACCTACAGGTGAAATTCACAGGCGCTGATGCTTGCACACTAGGAGGTTCCTTGCTCCACTCAGCTTCTGGGCATGAACCGGTTAGTTTTCAAAACTTCTGGACATTGCAGATTCCTCTCTGCCCCCTCCAACCCTTTCTTTCCCCTGTCTCTGCCCCACGCTTTGTGGCCCTTAAAGACTATCAACCATGCAATGAACATGGACCAAACAACTCTTAACTACCCACAGCACACCTCATGCTAGCCAATACCATACAAAGGCTTGGTGACTTGCCTTTAGGACACAGGAGCAGGCAAGGATTCCCCTCCTATTTACAGAGTCACAGTTAAGCCACCCACAGATCTGTGTGTGGCCCCAGCATCATGGAAATGTCTCCATCTTCCTCTTGAAGACTGGTGGCCAAGTTCCATGTATGTTTTTTTGTCCTCTCAAAGAACTGTGAAGACACCCAAACATCAGGGACAGAGGAAACAGCATTTACAGGGGGTGAGGACACTCAGAGAATACAAGCCACATGGCCTAAATCATCCACCATCCTAGCGGGTGTGCTCAGAACCACTACCCTCTCCCATGTGACAGGCAAGAGAGGCGGCGCTCTCCCCAAGCAGCATGATATAAACACCTGTATCCTACCTCAATCAAGAAGTCCCCGGTCCTTAGTCCGGCTTGCCATGCCACCCCACCTTCATCCACAGACTCCAGGTACTGCAGGGCCGGGAATGCCGGTGTAGGTGTGAATTCCTCAATAGGGGTATCAGCTAGGAAGACAAAGACATACTGTGTCAGAAGTCTGGGGGATGTTTTCCAAGTTGGTCATCCCACTTGCCCATGGGACCTTGGGAGGAAGACAGTCACTGCATTCTCCATTGAGAAGCAGTGGTCCTGGCTAGCTCTCCCCAGAGAGGAGCTCATTACTCACATGCACACCAGTGCTAATATAAGCCACAGAGCCAGGTGCACTCCAGTACCCCATCACGCCTCTTGGCCTCTCTGCTGAAACCATGGAATAAAGTACTCTGTGGTACATGTCTGCATGTCTGTCATTTTCTTTAAAAGTATCAATGACTAAACATTTTCAGTTCTAAAAATGGAAAAGTTCCTTCCTCTACCACACAGAGCTAGGGAAAGACCATACTGAAACCGCCTGCCAATTTCACAGCTATACAGACTCGCAACCCAGGGGATTCAACTTGGAACAGGGACAGAGCACACTGTTGACCCAGTGGGTGGCTGCTGATTTGGAATCTGCTCTGAAGTCTCTCCAGGGGGGACCTGGCTTTCTTTGACCATCACATGATCAGTGTGCCTCTCAGCTGAGCAAGGCTGGGCTTCTGGGGCCCACGGGGCTGCTGAGGGACTTTCTTGGTCCTCCTGAGAGGCTGGGGGTGGATGGGTGGGAAGGTGTGATGCCCGGGTTGGGGGAGGGGAAGGCACATCACACAGGCATGGACCTGTACCCTGGGGGTGGAGAAGACTCTGCTATTCTCTTTTTGGATGGATTGCTGTGGGCGGCCAGAGCCTATGACAGGTGGGCAGGCTAGCCAGGGAAGGAGGCCTCCCGCACAGGTACAACTGCCACATGGCTGACCCCCACCTGCCTCAGGCAGATGCCTCTTTTTGAGAGTGCCGATGCCATTCTACTGTAGTTGGGAAAAGAAGCCCCATGCCAGGGGTGATCATGGGGCACTGTTTTGGGCTGTGTCCCAGAGCCTCCCATTCCCAGGCCACAGGGTGTGTGCACTGCCAGCTTAGTCTATGGCAGAGGGGACCTTCTTTTCTCCTTGCCTTTGCAAAGTCACCTTAGAGGTGAGTATCTGGACACCTGCCATCCTGGGAGCTGAAACCCGTCCCCAGTACAGGCCAGCTTCCGGGTACCTCAAACTTGGGCTGGGCCATTCTGGGTATCTGAGACCAGGAGCTTTGAGAGCTGGCACACTATGACTGAACTGAAGCCCAAGCTGCAGGGTCTCCCCAGGACTGAGAGAAAAAGGTGGGGGGAGGGAAGGCGAGAGAGCAGCTCATTTGGAGCAGTACTGTAGATGGAAAATTAAAAACATGCCTGCAGGAAGCCTAGATGTTTTCTGAGGAAGGCAGAATGTTAAAGAGCATCGTTGTCTAGCAACCAAGTGCCCCCAGGAAAATGCTTGTTTCATGCTTATTTCCAAGCCGGGGAAGGTTCTTCATACAAGCGTGTGTGCACCACGCACACACACACACACACACACACACACACACACACACACACACACAGAGAGAGAGAGAGAGAGAGAGAGAGAGAGAGAGAGAGAGAGAGAGAGAGAGAGAGAGAGAGAGAGAGAGAGAGAGAGAGAGAGAGAGAGAGAGGAAGGGATCCCAGAACGCTTACCTTTTGCCCCTCGAAGCACAAATCCAAAGCCCTCGTTGTCTTTCTTCTGCAGGACCACCGTCTTGTCCTCAATAATGCAGTCACTGTAGAGAGAATTCCGGGGATAGCGACCATTATTGTAACCGGTCATCATCACGGTGGCTGCTCCACCGCCGGGGACGCTCATCATCACAGCCAATTAATCACCCAGCTCGGATCCAGGCAGCATGGAGGAGCCTGGGCAGCAGCTCGGTGCAGGAGGAGCTGGGGGTGGGGGGGTAGCAGGATGGGCGAGCGGGGCACAGTGGGATGTGGAGGGGGGCGGCGGGCGCGGGAGCCAGCTGGGGGAAGGAGTCATGGATGCTGGAGGGGCTGCCCAGGCCGCTGGGGAGCAGGGGGCCCAGCTCAAGGGACCTGGGGGCTGGCCAGGATGCCACCGCCCAGAGCAAAGAAAGTAAGTGGCCCAGGTGGTGGTGGTGGCGGCAGAGGCAGCAGCGTGGTGAAGGAGGTTCCCAGGCCTCTCTCGGCCAGATGCATCTTCCAGGCAAGCAGAGAAAATCAGCCGGAGGAATACCAAGATAGCTGCTTCGCTTTGCTATTTCTTGAAGGGGCTTAAAAAGATCAGGTTCTCTCCGCTTGTTCGGTGCACGAGCCAGCAGCAGGCACTGGGGACGCAGAGACCTGTGCTTTGCAGCCAGCGCCCCCTCCCTCCCTCTCTCCCGTCCTAGGGAATGTGGTGTGCAGCAGGAGCCCCCACAGTCATCTGATGAGCCCACAGTGCGACCGGCGCGGCTGCCTGGGCGTCATCCCGCGCGCAGAGGATCCGCAGGCTGGCCTGGTGGCCGGCGGGAGGGGCGGAGGGGGGGAGCGGCCAGCTCTGTGTCCCTCCAGACCACAGAGGCCAAGGCTTAGGGGTGAAAGAGTGAGTGGTAAGGGGCTCAGGCCATCTCAGTCCCACCAGAGTCAAGAAGGACAGCAGCTCCCTCCTGAGGACGATGCCTTGTTGAGGACAGAAAGGCCAGCAGGGTCCCCACTACAAGGAAGACTGAGAACCACAGGGCTCACCTCTTTGTATTGCATTTCCATTTTTAAAGGAAACAGACTAAAGAGCCCAGACTTTACTGTTGTGGCCAAAGCGGTCTATCATCAACATTAACAGAGCTCTCTGACTGTCCACCTAGAGGTGTGTGCGTAGGGCACACAGGACAGCATGCTGCTACCTAATGGCTTGAGAGTCACCAACTGTGGCCCTCACTGGCCTTTTTGGTGGCTGCTGAAGGGCAGGAGTCAGGGCTGTTTGCATCTCAGATTCAGTCATTGCCCCCACCCCCGGAAGTAAGTCAGAAGGCAGGAAATCTGGGGGTTGGGACCAAGAGGAGGGAAAGGGCTTTCTTCTCTAGTGCCGCAGTGGGAGGTGTGAGGACACTGGACATGGTGGCCAGAAATCCCAACAGAAGGGTTATCAGGGCCCTGAGGCAGAGAGGATGAAGGGAGTGAAGAGCAATGATGGTCTCTGACTCCCACAGTGGTGACAGTCAGTTCTCTTAGGCTTGGGGTCTACAGAAAGCACAGGACCAAGGGTCTGGCCTGCAGAGAGCAGCCGATTAGGATAGGGCACCCTGGAGCTGGAAGAGATAGGGAACCCTGGAGCTGGAAGAGCCGGGCAGCCCCTTCTAACCAGCCTAGCAGGCCAGTCCAACCTTTTGTGATTGTGACACTATGTTAATGTTACCAGTTACAAGTTTATACTTAAGAACCATGCAAGAAAGTTACAAGGAAAAAATAAGGCGAAAGAATCTTAAAATATGGAAAAAGAATCTTACAATGTTTGAGGAAGTTTTCAATTCTGGGTAGGCCCTATTAAAGCTGCCTTGGGTACATGTGGCCAGTGGTCTGCTGGTTAGACACACCTGGTATCAGGTGTGGACAGAGCAGTGGCTTTCCAAGGTTCCCATTGGGCAGGTAAGACTGATGGTGTTGGTAATATGAGTCACCCATCACAGGGTCATGCTAAATAATGCTCTGGGAATTGGCTATATGGGAGGCAACATAGGCTGGGCAGTGATACAAGTTGCCAGCACAGTGGTCTAAGTAGGATGATTAGTCACAGAAGTCTGAGAAGATAGCTGAGAAGCTAATCTCAAATCTTGCTGTGTCTGCTGAGACATCCCACCAGCCTCCTGGATCCTGGGCACAGGTGTGTGAGACCCCTTTTACTCAGTTTTCAAAGCCCCTGGCTTTGAGGATGATGAGAGCCCATGGGCATGTCACTGAGCTGGCCTATAGGAAGCAACAGGCCTTTAGTTCTCGCTTCCCATTTCAACACGATGTGAGGACAGCCCTCAGTCACTTGGAGCTGCTGTGGTTAGATGCCACAGTACCCATGATAGTGTGGTTTAGTGACAAGGCCCCAGGGAACCCCTTTCAAGTATGGTTAGTAACTGGAGAGGACCTGGCTGGTAGCCAGTTCCTGCCATCACGTGACTGGTTGGAAGAAGAGCTAGGATGGGGCGGGACTTGTTGCTACTGATTCAGGGACATTACAAGATACCAGGCAAAGCAAGCTTGTGCCAGATCCTTCCGACTTCACACTTTTGTGCATGCCCTTGATAACTGGAATATAGACTCAGGTCTCTTAGTGGAGGCTCTTTTTAACTATACCCTTTCTGCTCCAATTTCCCAGGGGAAGCTACCTGTCTTGGCCCCAGGGCTCCCTCAGTGGCCAGACAATAGGAACCCTGTGGCCCCTTTACTTGCCTTCCTAGCCACAGAGGTCTCTCTGAGCCTTTGCTGCTCAGCAACCCACTTCTCTCCATGTGCTTTAGCATCTGAGGACTGGTTGCCCTGACTTGAGTGTCTCAGACCCAATGTCTGCACATTCCCCTGGACACACTTGACTGACAGTACTGGCTTTGGCCTGGCTCAGGGTAGAAGCCATGGAGGGCTCCCAGAATGCACTTCCTCAGCCAGGAGAACCCGAGTGTTCCCAGACATTTCCTCACACCACAGTCATAGCGACCTCCTCAGGCCAACAGTGCTGACTGGACAGGGACTGTCTCCTCCTGACTGCTTGTGGGAGTAGGCATGTCACTGAGCCTGGCTCAAAACAAAGTATGACTCTGAGCCCAAGGTCACCCTAACCTTTGAAACCTCAGGTCTTGCTCTACAGAATGAGAACCACAACCACAGGTGTCATGGAGGGCGACAGAGTGTGCTGAATACCCCCTGAGACCCAGCAGTCTCAAGGGTGGCCCCTGCTGGGCAGTCAGCTGTAACACACAGCGAGTATTTCCATCTTAAAGAGTCACTGTTAGCAGCATCAACAGTATTATTGATCCTCTTTTGCAACCCCCAGCCAGAGAGCCCTCTCCAAGATTCTGTTCTTATACAACCTTCCCAGCTGCTTCCTGCTGTGCCAGACCTGTGTGTGCAGACAGACCTTCTCATCTGAGCCTCCCTTCCTGGAAGATGGCTTCCAGTTCCTCCTCTCTGTGATGTTTCTTAGGAGCTAAGCCCCACCATATACCCACTACCCTTACTCACCAACAGACCTTGGGCCTAAACCCTAAATTCAGACATCCGTCAGCCTGAAGAGAGTGAATAAAAATTTAGCGGAAATAAGTCTCCACCAATAGACACTACTGTGGGCAGACCCACTGCCAGGAACCCTGCCCTCAAGCTTCCATGTATCTTCTTCTGCTATGATCCAGGAGCAAATGCCCCCATCTCCCCAAGGGTTCAGTCTCCCGAGAGATAGTGAGCTGTTGCTGCACAACACCCCAAATGCTTGGAGGCTGGCAGAACCCAAGGCAGGGGTGGGACACATAGCAGAGGGGATCTGAGTAGGAGATGCTGAGGATGGCTGCAGAGTGAAGGACCATCCTGGGTTCTCAGCAGCTCCTTCCTCCTGCTAACTAGTGACCTGGTCCTGAGCAAAGTGTGACTCTGAGCCCAAGGTCACCTTAGCCTCGATGGCTGCTCCTGACACTTTCCTACAAACAGAGCTAACACTGCCTAAGGTCCTGGTAGCCCCTGTACGGTTGCTCTAGCAGATCTACCCTCTAGATTTGACCCAAAGACCACTGCCCACACTTCACAGGGACATTATCTGAAGCTCCCATACTCCTCACACTGCTCCTGGGTGACCCCACTCAGGCTCTGCTGGAGCCCTGTTCCCTCACCCATCACTGACCAGGTATCTAAAGCATTCATTGTGGGTATCCAGGAAACAAAGATACCCAAGTATCCTATTTTTAAAATTCCAGTGTTTGATGGTTGGACACAAATACAAGCCAGTAGCATGCTCTCCAGATTCGTTTGTTGGAGTTCTAATGTACCCCAAATGTGCCCTCCTATGCTAATATCTAGATGCAGCAGACATGGCATGGCACGGGGCAAGAGTGGATATACAGCTCTGCTATATACAGCTTTGGAGGTTGTATACGGTACATGTCAGAGAACACCACCCACAGTTCATACATGTGCTCATGTATGCATTGTAGCCATGTGGCAGAACCTTGAGGAGGGGCTAGGTTCCTTTCCTAGTTTACATAAAGGTATAGCCAGGTCCAACAGTTGCCATGGAGAATGGGAGAGCTGTTTCTACAGGAAACACATTGACCTCTGGGAACCCCATGCAGAAGGCAGCCATGTTTGCTCCCATCCCCCTTGTGTCAACTGATCAAGTATGTGTGGAGTGTTGTGGGGACTTGAGGTCTGCACAGAGTGGATTGAAGGACCTCACCTTCATGGCGTGCCTGAAGGGGCTTCTGGTGTCCATCTTGTAGGACCCCAAGTGGCCAAGTCACAGTGGCATTTATTTATTTTTTAGTTTTTGAGACAAGATTTTTGTTTTGTAGCCCAGACTGGCCTTGCACTCTTAGTGATCCCCCATTTCAGCCTCCTGTTGCTGTGACAAAACACTTGACAAAAGCAACTTAAGGAGGGAAGGGTCACTTGGCTCACGTTCAAGGGTGGAGAGCATCATGGCAGGGAAGGCATGGAGGCAAGAGTATGAGGCAGCCAGTCACATTGCACCCACAGCAAGGAACCATAGAGAGATGAATGATGGTGCTCAGATCACTTCCTCCTTTTTATTCAGACT